CTTCCAAATGGCCCACAACGCTCCAATGACCAGCGAGTCGAAACCTCGCTTCACTTTTCCGTGGAATCCTCTCCTAGTCTTGAGCCACCACTCCTCTAGTGTCTCATGACCGGAATACCGACTTGAACCTGCAAAGTGTCCAAACATGTGTGCCAGACTTCTCTCGCATATGGGCATTGCACCAACATGTGCTCGACATTATCTTCTTCTTGCAAGCAAATGTAGCAAGCCGAAGGCTCATCTTGCAGACCATGACGAGCTCTCCTATCAGAGGTCCACAATCTGTGTTTCACCGCAAGCCAGGTAAAAATCTTGCACTTAAGCAGGGCCCAACTTCGCCAAATGGCCCGTGCCATGGGGAAGCGGATTCCGCCCTGGCAAAGTTCCGCATACGTGGATCTCGCAGTATACGCTCCTGAAGGATCGTGTGGCCATCTGAATTCGTCCTCGCTTTGTAAGTCTCTTTGAACCGTAGCAATCGCGTGCCTCAGGTGCACCATCTGAAGCAAACCCGTGAAGGAGAATTGGGAATGGGTGTCACTGGTCCATCTCTCCCCCAACATCGCCTGAGCCACTGTCCTAGAGTTCCCGGTCCTCGTGTCCACGCCATCCAAGACGAGAGGGGCGATGTCTCCGACCGAGAAGCCATGAATCCATCTATCTCTCCAGAACAATACTCTGTCGCCTTTCCCGACTGCAATCTTTACAAGACTATCAAAAACTTGTCTGGCCTCGTCGTCCACCAGCAGATGCAATCCTTGCCAAGGCCTGCGGGGATCAGTCCGCCTAAGCCACTCCCAGCGCACTCTAAGCGCGATCGCCTGCAAACTCATGTTCTTCACGCCCAATCCTCCGAAGGCAGTTGGCTTGCAAATATTATTCCATGCAACTAAGCAATGCCCTCCGGAGACCCGATCCTTACCCTTCCAAAAGAAAGAGCGCAGCCACCCATTTCTATCCTCAAACACCCAGGCCGGGGCGTCCATGACCAGTAAGTGGTGAACCGGCCTCGCCGAGAGCACAGACTTGACCAAGATCAATCTTCCCGAGCGCTGCATCATGCCTCTCTACCAGGCGGGGACGAAGTGCCTCACCTGATCAAGAAGTGGCTGCCATTGAGCCCTGGTAAGCTGCTTGAGCGCAAGTTGTAGCCCAAGGTACTTGCAGGGGAACTCGGACATGGTGCACTGAAGGATACCTTCAACTCTCGCTCTATCATCATTGTTCTTCGAGATGAGGATGGCGGTAGACTTAGTGTAGTTCACTCGAAGGCCCGAAGCTTCACCAAAGATTTCCAACGCATGCCTTACAAATTGCAGATTTGCATCTGAGGGTTTGACGAATAGCGCAACGTCGGCTGCATATACCGACAAACGCTGCGTAGAAGAGATGCCCGTGTAAGCGCTAAGAACTCCCTCTTGCGATGCTTTGGCGACGATCGCGGACAGGATATCCATGGCAATGACAAACAACAAAGGAGAGACTGGATCTCCTTGTCTTAAACCTTTGGCGTGCCAAATTCTCCTGCCAGGAACCCCATTCACCATAATTTTGGTGTTCGCTGTTTGCAGCAAACTAGCCACCCACTTCAACCAGACTCTTCCAAAACCTTTAGCGCGCAGCACCTCGAACAAAAATGGCCAGGACAAGGAGTCGAAGGCGCGAGTGATGTCTAATTTTAGGAACACTCCGGGGCTCTTCCTCGCATGGATTTTCCTCGCAACTTGCTTGACCAGCAAGTAGTTATCATGCAGGGTACGGTCTTTGATGAACGCAGACTGGTTGACTCCGACAAGCTCATGCATTCTCCTTCGCGCTCCATTAGCAAGCAACTTAGCAAAAATCTTGGAGAAGCTGTGGGGCAGACTAATAGGCCTGTAGTCGCCCACTTCAATCACATCGGGCTTCTTTGGTATCAGGACGATGAGGGCGCGGTTTAGCCAGGCGAAACCACGGTCGTCGCCCACGCAGAGCTTGAAGAGTGCAGCCATGACATCACTCTTGATGGTGGGCCATGCCCTTTGATAGAAAGCGATGGTGAAGCCATCCGGTCCAGGGGCGTGATCCGGGTGCATCTCTTTGATAACGCCCCAAACTTCCTCCTCTGTGAAGAGAACCTCCATGTCTCGTAGGTCCAGTTGCTCAACTCCCAGGTAATCAAGATCCAGGGTGTGGTTCCTTGTGTGCACCATACCCAAGAGGCTCTGAAAAGCATCGGCGAAAGCCTCCTCCATGCGCGTCTGATCAGTGATGGTCTCTACTCCAACTCTGATGTGTGGGATGAAGTTTTTAGCCCTTCTTCCGTTGGCCACCGACTGGAAGAATTTGGTGTTTGCGTCTCCTTCCTGCAACCATCTAAACCTAGACCTTTGTCTTTCTATGGTGCGCTCCAAGGATGCTAGCCCCAACAAGGCTAGCTTCAACGATCTCCTCAACCAAATCTCAAGCTCCGACAAGCCTCTAGCTTCCATGGCTTGATCAAACCGGAAAATCACAAGTGAGGCAACGGACATGAGCAACTTGATGTTACCGACTTTCTTTTGCCCCCAAGCTTGCAGCACAGCACCGGCATTTCTGAACAGAGTGTCCAACCTTTTAAACGGGTCGATAATCGCGGGGTCACAGGTCCATGCCTCGCAAACAGCCTGATCGAAGCCGTCAATCTTGAGCCAAAAGGACTCGAACTGGAATCTTTTTTTTGGCCAATGGTGAGCAGCAACCGAGAGATGCAAGGGCGCGTGGTCTGAAATGTTAGTGGAGAGCGCCTGGAGGAGGTAATCATGTCGAGCCAGCTCCCAGTCAACGGAGACCAAGACGCGATCAATCTTGGTAAATGTAGGCGCCTCCCGCTCGTTCGTCCAAGTGAAACGACGTCCATGCATGTAAAGCTCCTTCAACTCGTTATTATCAACGAAAGCTCTGAATTTATTCATCATGGTACGATTGAGGTTCAAGTTGCTCTTCTCCGAGGCACGCAGGATCATATTGAAGTCGCCGAGGACCATCCAAGCTCTCTGTCGACTTCAAGACTAAGGTAATCAAAGCCAGGACCCACTTTCGTATTTCACCATCAAAATTTTACAGCGATGTTTTTTTTGCGGGAAAATTCTACAGCGATGTTAAAAGCTCAGACATATACAAACTTATTTCTTTGTGTGTATTTTCTTGAATTTATAACTTTGTTTTCATCATTCATCTCGGGCGCACCCTTAATTCAATGGTGCAGCCATTAGTTGAAACAATGAACATGAATAAGATATATAAAAACTGACACATGCACATGTTCTCTCTCCATCGAAATATATGGGCCCAACATGTTTTTTGAAGTTGTCTTTGACAATTGATAAGATTAATAATTATATCACTAAAAATTCCTTTCACGTAAAAATTTGATGATATGATTTGTGTAACATCCATGGCATGTATTATTTCTTTAACCCATGGTCAAAGGTAACCTCGGAAAACTTATTAGGTCCTATATATATTTGTATGGGGGGGGGGGAGGTACATATTCTTGTCATTTATATGTGTGTAAAATTTCATGAATAAGAAGTTAACCAGTTGCATTTTTAGGGGTCTACACAAACATGTACACACCTATAAAAATTTCTTCGTATTAATGAAAGTTTACACAAACATGTGTGCATGTATAAAATTTCAGATTTTTTTGACACCTGCGTTTTCATTTTATTTTGTGGACTTTTTGTTCATCTCAAGAGCTTATTTCTAGTATTTTTTTTTAACCTGAGAGCTTATTTCTAGTATAAACAATCCCTGGTGACTTTGGACCAATCGGTCTCAGTTAGGCCCATACAAGGCCCATCGCCCTACCCTCCTAGCACATTGCACGTAGAAAAAGTACTCCCTCCGTTTAAAATTACTTGTTGCAGAAATGAATGTATCTAGACGTATTTTAGTTCTAGATACATCAATTTTCGAGACAAGTAATTCCGAACGGAGAGAGTATATTTTAAATAGCGGGCTATGGCATATAGCGGCAACCCTTAAAAACAGCTATAACGGTAAATTGTACATAAAATCATTTAGCGGCAACATGCTCAAACAGCTATAGTGGGCCTATGACCGGTTATTTGAAACTATGAGAAAAACCTAACCCATTGTCCTTTTTTCTCAAAAAAAAAACATATCCCATTGTTTAAAAAAACCTATTCCTCCGAGTTTCATCTCACTCCCGCATAGCCTATATTTTTTTTCACTCCCTTCCCGTGTGCCACACAGGTCCCATAAAACTCTCTAACACTGTCAATTTATTACCCTTCTGTGAAAATAAATCTGATGTTCACTGTTCAGTCCAACCAATACAAAATAACGGAAGTTCTAATTTATTACCCTGTGGTGCAATTTTGCTTCATCTGTTTCACAGTAGCATATGCTTCTCTAGTGCTGCAGTTATACTTCTGTCCAATCATGGTAAATTCGATCTTAAGAGATACCTATATGAAGTAGTATGTAATATGGTGATTTGCAAGTGTGCGACGCCCTGCTAATTAATCAGCTTAACTTAGAGATACATAGCATGTTATTTTTATGAGCAAAGGTGCCTTTCAGAAGTATTAGCTCACCTAAACAATTTGATGACAGGGAATTTCTAATAGATGGAACTGTGCAAAGACTATTAGTATTATGTTGGAAATTTAGCACTTATTCTTTACATAATCTTGTAACTTATGTCTTTTGGTCATTTCAAAGACAATAACTAGATTATTTATTGCGGTTACGACAACTGTACTAAATAATTATGTATTTTTGTCTTGGTATAGGCTGCTGAAGTGGTTGGTCAAGTGAACTCATGGGTTGACCAAGTCACATCGGGTCTCATCAAAGAGATGCTTCCTACGGGGTCCATTGAGTCTGATACGAGACTGGTTCTTGGGAATGCATTGTGTTTCAAAGGAACTTGGGTTCAGAAATTTCATGCATAAGGCACCAAAGATGATAATTTCCACCTTCTTGACAAGACATCAATAAAAGCACCATTCATGTCTAGTAGAAAGAACCAATATATTTCGTGTTTTGAAAACTTGAAGGTACTTAAGCTTCCTTACGAGCAAGGCGGGGACAAGAGGCAGTTCTCCATGTACATACTTCTTCCAAAAGCACAAGATGGCCTTTGGAGCTTGGCAGAAAAGTTGACCTCTGAGCCAGAGTTTCTGGAGAAGCATATCCCTGCTCGAGCGGTTCCAGTCGGGCAATTCAAGATCCCTAAGTTCAAGATATCATTTGATTTTGAAGCGTCCAAATTGTTCAAGAGTTTGGGCCTCCAACTCCCATTCAGCACAGAAGCAGATCTTTCGGAAATGGTCGATGCCCCATTAGGACAGAGTTTGTGTGTCTCATCTATATTCCACAAATCTTTCGTAGAAGTGAATGAAGAAGGAACTGAGGCTGCCGCAACAACTGTTGCGGTAGTCATGTGTAAATCGCTTCCACCAGTTCCTCCCATGAAGGTGGATTTTGTCGCGGATCACCCTTTCCTCTTCGTGATACGAGAAGACATGACCGGTGTGGTGCTATTCGTCGGTCATGTGATCAATCCTCTGCTTGCAGCTTAGCACGTGTGTAGTGAACCATTATCCATGGTGCAAGCGTGATCGTGATGGGGTCCGTTACATGAAGGTCTTTCTCCATCTTGTTGCAAGTTCAATAAATGTACGTAGTAGTACATGTTCCTTTTTCAAAACTACTCCTTCCGTTCCTAAATATTTGTCTTTGTAGACATTTCAAATGGACTATCATATACAGATGTATGTAGGCATATTTTAGAGTGTAGATTCACTCGTTTTGCTTCGTATGTACTTCCTCCGTTCCAAATTAATCGTCGTGGTTTTAGTTCAAATTTGAACTAAAACCATGACGAGTAATTTGAAATGGAGAGTAGTCACTTGTTGAAATCTCTAGGAAGACAAATATTTAGGAACGGAGGGAGTATAAGAGTTGTTTGATGTATGATATTTTGGCTTTCAAACTGCGCCTTGCTCGGTGTGTGTATGAAATATTGATATACTAGTCTTCGGATATGAATTTCATAGAAAAGCAGCTACGCACTCCATTCTACGATGGTTTACAGAGGTTAGAGAATTTGGAACCTGCTGCGCTTCCGAACATAATACTGTAACTTGACCACAAGGTAAGCCCCCCACCCCCACGCAGCAGGACACTGATGCAAATCCCATTTATGTATTGTCACGCAAATCTCCTTAACAGTGAAAACTTTACACACTTGCATCATAATCCCAAGCTTGGACTCTAGTACTAATCAGTTGTGTGATCTTAAGAAAACACCATGCATCTAGAGCAAACACCTAAAAGGCCACGAGGCGTGCAGTGATACCCATACAAGTCAGATGTTGTACTGTACTCCCTCAGTTTCAAAATAGATTACGCAACTTTATACTAAAGTTAGTTTAAAGTTGGGTCATCTATTTTAAAACGGAGGGAGTACAAAATTAGGATAGAAGGACAAGTTAGACCAACGCGATCAGCTAGCTTATTAAAGAACTGATTCAGTCCAGCGGACAGCAACTCGGCGTGCTAGCTGCCCCAACAAGGAAATTCAAAGCGTCACTTAGTTCGCTCGATGTGCATGCGTGCTTTTATTTGTGGGGTGCGTATATAGCGGCGGATCATGTGCTCTGCGGTGCTGGAGCCTACGTGGACGGATAACGCAGAGTATCGTTTTCCTCTCCTGCCGGCCGGTGGTGTGGATATCAGATGCCACGGGACACAGTTCAAGTGTATACGGCTGCATTCACGTTCTACGAGTGCAGCGTAGAGGTTTTCGCCTAGTCACACGCAAATGGTAGAACTGTTCACGTTGACAGGGCACCGGCCAGAGCGCTAATCACGCCGGGAGGGGAGGAATTGTCTAGGCCTGGGATTGCTTTGACACTCCGCCTGGTTTGTTTTGCCTGACGGCGGATCCAGTAAAGAAAATTTCGTGTGGGGTATACCCCTGCAAATCAGAGGAAATACAGGGTTTGGTGGTGGACAGAGGGAAAATTAGAGCATCTTCAACGTTGTCCTTTAAAACGAACACAATATATGTCTACAAATATTGATACAGAAGCCGGCCATCCAACCTGTACACCACCCGTCCGGGGGCACATTTCGAACGGAACTTAAACAAAAGAGACAAATTTAGGCACATTTCGAACGGAACTTGAACAAACGAGACAAATTGCATGCAAACCATACAATTTTTATTTAATCTGGATCAAATCATGAAAAGTTTGACATAGTTCATTAAACAAAAGCGGACATAGCAAAACTTCCTTGTCTAAATTTTCGCCGGCCCTGGAGACGTCCGGGTTCCACATACTGTTCTTCTTCATGTCTAGAGAGGAAGAGCAAGACATGTGGCACGGACGCGGACGCGCCCACGTTCGTCTCCCGCCTCCTACTCTTCCTAACCAGAGTCTACCGCCTAGTGGTCGGTGTTGCGGTGGAGCTGAGATCGATGATTGACCTAGATGGCCACGCCTCCCAGTCGTTGCAGGCGGGCGCGAACGAGGAGCCGATGATGATGGTGGACGTAGCATCCCCTACCTGGTCGCATGCGCCGCCTCCCAGTCGTTGCAGGCAGGTGCGAACGAGGAGCCGATGATGATGGTGGACGTAGCGTCCCCTACCTAGTCGCATGCGCCACCTCCACATCCGCGTCCGCCGCGATCTGCTCGGATAGAAGATCACGCTTCACGTCAATGACGCGAAGTTGCCAACGCTCGCGGCGGATGGTGCGGGCAATGCAAGCGAATTTTTATATCGTATGCTGCCACGGCGGTCACGGCCTACTCGCTCGCCTGCTCTCCGCGAATTTGTCCCTCTACGAGCCGGTGCTGCTCAAGGAGCCAGAGGTTGTACTGCTGTTCCTCCGGCCACATCTGAAACGCAGAGTCTCCCATGACGGCCTCGTAGTGCGCCCGTGCCATGGTGAAGCCGACAACCGGCAAGGGTGCGGGCGCGGGCTTGTTGTTGGACGCGTCCTCCATCGTCCGGTCGCCGTCCCCCTCGCGCACCTCTGGCGAGCTCGCAGGCAGTCCGACCTCTATTTGTCGCACACGGCTATTCATGCAATGTCACACAAATTTCCTTAAAAAGTGAAAACTCTACACACTTGCATCACATAATCCCAAACTTGGATTCTAGTACTAATCAGTTGTGTGATCTTAAGAAAACACCATATGCATCTAAAGCAAACACCTAAAAGGCATACTGATATCCATACAAATCAGATGTTCTACAAAATTCGGATACAAGGACAAATTAGACCAGCCGCGATCAGCTAGCTTATTAAAGAACTGATTCAGTCTAGCTGACAGCAACTCGACGTGCTAGCTGCCACAACAAGGAGATAGAGAGCGTCACTTGCATGGTCGCCCGATGTGCATGCCTGCTTTATTTTTTTATTTTTTTGAGAGTACGCCAATGGCGTACCATATTTTTATAGAAGAGAGAATATATAATTACAAAACACCTGCGACAGATGCGAACATCCGTCACTGGCAACACCACACCGAACACTGGGCTGAGGTCAACTCCTCACAAACCTATCTAGACCTCCGACTCCTACACCTGCTCGAATCAGCTCTTGTAATTCATCGAGAATCCAACTAGCTAGTTCTCTAGGTCCCTTAACTTGCTCCGGTCAATGGAAGACCCGTGCGTTCCTCTGTTTCCAAAGGGACCACGCTGTCTCGATGACGAATGTATCGTAGCCCCTCCTCTCCTTGCCATGAAAAGTGGCTCTAGCTCTCAACCACCATTCAGCGAAAGTGTCACTCGCTAGAGGAGCCTCCACACTCAAGTGCATTGAATCCAGGCACATATGCCAAACCTCGCGCGCGTAGACGCATTGCACCAGAATATGCTCCGCGTTATCCTCGTCCTGCAGGCACGTGTAGCAAGGCGAGGGTGTGTCCTGCAGGCCATGCCGCGCCCTTCTATCCGACGTCCACAATCTGTGCTGCACAGCCAACCAAGCGAAAATTTTGCACTTGAGCGGCGCCCAGCTGCGCCAGGTCCCATTTGCCGTGGGGGAACGCAACCCACCCTGACACAGCTGGGTGTAAGTGGATTTCGCCGTGTATGCACCCGAGCGATCGTGTGGCCAGGCAAATCGATCCTCCTCCTGCTCGTCTCTTGGCACCGATGCAACTGCATGCCTCAGATGCATGGCTTGCAAAAGCGCACCAAACGAGAACTGGAGCTGCACGTCCAGTGTCCAACTCTCTCCCTGAATGGCCTGAGCAACCGTCCTGGTGTTCCTTACTTTGACGCTCACTCCTTGGAACAGCGTGGGCGCGATGTCTTTGACGGCGAATCCATGTATCCACCTGTCTCGCCAGAACAGGACCTTGTCCCCTTTACCGACCGTAATGCTCACCAAACTTTCAAAAACCCTCCTCGCATCCTCATCCACCATCATATGCAACCCTTGCCAAGGCCGGAGTTGGTCGGTCCGCCTTAGCCATTCCCATCTCACTCTTAGTGCGAGTGCTTGAAGTTGAAGATTTTTCACCCCGAGACCACCATAGACCAGGGGCTTGCATATAGTGTTCCATGCAACTAAGCATTGACCCCTATGGACCTTGTCTTTCCCAGCCCAGAAAAAGGCTCTCATCCAACTGTCCATGTCCTCAAGGACCCAAGCAGGCGCCTTCATAACCAGAAGATGATGGACCGGCCTTGCCGCCACCACCGACTTCACCAGAACCAGCCTCCCCGAGCGTTGCATGAGGCCTCTCTGCCATGCGGGGATGAAGTGCCTCACCTGATCAAGCAACGGCTGCCACTGCACCTTTGTAAGCTTCTTCACCGCCAACTGTAAGCCGAGGTATTTACAAGGGAATTGACCCATGGTGCATTGCAACAGACTCTCCACTCTACTTCTGTCATCTGAGTCATCTGTAATGAGGATAGCCGAGGATTTCCTGTAATTGATCTTGAGCCCCGAGGCTTCTCCAAAGATGTCCAGCACTCTCCTGACAAACTCCAGCTCCAGTGTGGATGGTCGCACAAAGAGGGCGACATCATCCGCATAGATGGACGGTCTTTGCATAGCCGAGATGCCCGTGTAGCTGCTCAACACGCCCTCCTGTGTGGCTTTTACCACGGTCGCCATTAGCGCCTCCATAGCAATCACGAACAGAAGCGGAGAGACCGGATCCCCTTGCCTTAGTCCTTTAGCATGCCAAATTCTCCTCCCAGGAACACCATTGACCAGCACCCGCGTGCTTGCAGTCATGAGAAGGGCTGCCATCCTCGCAAGACAGTGTGGACCGAACCCTTTAGCTCGCAACACTTCAAACAGAAATGGCCATGAGAGTGAGTCGAAAGCTCTCGTGATATCCAACTTGAGGAAGACACCATGATTCTTCCTGGCCCGAATCTTCATCGCCACTTGCCTCACAAGCAGGTAGTTATCATGAAGGCTTCTTCCCTTGATAAACGCAGACTGATTCACTCCCACCAAGTCGGCCATGCGTGGAAGTACTCTGTTAGCCAACAGCTTGGCAAAAAGCTTGGAGAAACTGTGCGGTAGACTGATCGGTCG